TGGTCACACTAGTCACATTTCAAGTGCCCAGTTGCTTCTGTGGCTCATGGCTACAGCACTGGACAATGCAGATAGAAATGTTTCAACCATCACAGAAAGCTCAATTGTATGGCACTGGATTGGACTTTTCTCTTGAAAAGGAAGCCCTGATGCCCTGATATAGGAATAAGGAGCGCTGGTGGCATAATGGTCCAAGCATTTGGCTGCTAACCAAAAAGTTGGCAGTTCTAGCCCACCAGCTGCTCTGTGGGAGAAAGACAAAGCAGTCTGCTTCCGTAAAGAGTTACAGCCTTAGAAACCCTATGGAGCAGTTCTACTCTGTTCTGCAGTGTTGCTTTGAGTTAGAATCGACTCAATGGCAGTGAATTTGGGTTTCAGTATAGGAATGTTATCAGCTTTAGAGAAATCAAAGATAGATTTGATCTATTCAACAAATTTTTAAGCAAATATTTGCCTCCCACTGTAAAGCAGGCCCTGAGTACATAGTAGTGGGTAATAGATGGTCTTGTAATTTGGAGTGAAAAGGCAACTGCAAGAGGCCCTAAGTGCTGAGTCCAGGCTGGGGGATTGGGAAGGCTTCCTAGAAAAGGAGATATCTAAGGGCAGACCTCAAGGCTGAGGAAGCACTAGTTAAGCCAAGTTGCTCGCCAAATCAAGTGATTTTTTGCCCCCAGGGGCCTTTATACAGGCTGTCCACACAGCTCAGAGGAAAAGAAGTGGTTAATTCCTTGAAGTTAGCTCCCCAGCTGGGGCGAAGCAGAGAGTCCTTGTTGGAACATTAACTCAAGAGCTCTGTGCTTTGACCTCTACTCCCCCACCAGAGGCATATCTAAGGTCTGGCAGTATTGGCACATGCACTGGGTACCACTTGAAGGTGGCACCATTGGCTATTTCTGTGAGAGATCATTCCAGAAATTAATATTAATACTTTGGTATTTGAAAGCCTCTATAGGAGCTCTGGTAGCGTAGTGCCTAAGGCATTTGACTGCTAACCAGAATGTTGGCGGTTCAAACCCCCCAGCCACTCCTCGGAAGGAAGATGGGGCAATCTACTTCCGTAGTGATACTGCCTTGGAAACCCAAGGAGGGGTCACTATGAGGCGGGTGCAACTCGATGGCACATAACAACAACAACATGGTGCTCCGGAGAGCCTCTATGAAGTTCTGGTAGCCTAATGCCTAAGGCATTTGACTGCTAACCAGAAGGCTGGTGGTTCAAACCCAGCAGCCACTCTTTGGAAGGAAGATTGGGTGTGGTGGTTATGTTTGTGTGTCACTTTGGCTAGGCCTGGTTGAGTGGCTGGGCAGCTGGATGTAGTATTCCCCATGATGAGACTGGTAATCAACTCCATAGTGGAATCTATTGTGAGCAGCTGAGTAGCTGCCTTTAGGTATGTGGTCTGCTTTGCATATAAGAAACAGCTTTGGGAATGGTCTCTAGCTTATGGCATGCTTGGATCCTGCATATAGCCAAGTCCTTGTTCAACAGCCTGCCACGCTCTGCCTATCTTGGAAATTTCAGTGGACTTGAGTCAATGGCCTGCATGTTTGGTAACATTGGGACAATGCCATTTTATTTGTCGACCTTGGGCTTATTAGCCTCAGCAGCCAGTAGCTGCCTGAGTGAAGAGATGCCTCTAGCTTCAGTGGGCTGGGAGCAAGAGGCAGAGCTGAAGCCCAGGGTTGAGGGGCTTTCACACAGCCCCTAGAGCCTGGCACTTTGAACTTGGACTTCTAGCCTCCTGAACTGTAAGAAAACAAACTCCTGTTTGTTTAAGCCATCCCATTTGTGGTATATTCTTGTCAGAGTGGCACTAGGTAACCAGAACATTGGGAAATCCACTTCTGTAGAGATATTGCCTCAGAAACCCACAGAGGGGTCGGTATGAATCCAATCAACTGGACGGCAGTGAGGTTTTTTGTGTTTTAATGGAGCTCTGGTGGCATAGTGCCTCAGGCATTTGACTACTAACCAGCTCCTTACAGAAGAAAGATGGGGCACCTTGAAAACTCAATGGGGGGTCACTATCAGTCAGAATGGACTTATCATGGTGAGGTGTTTTTGTTTTTTATTTTGTTTTTTTATTTTATTTTATGGACCTATAGGCAGACTGTATGAATTTGCTCTGCTGGGTGTAGAATGAAACTGAAAAAAAATGACTCTGAGCACATCATAGACCAACTGTCATCAGTGAAAGCAAGGAAGAAGAAAGCAGTTGTAATTTTCATGTAGTTCCATAATGTGTTAAGTAAAAAATTAACAAGGCTGACTTATATTATTATTAAGCTGTTATTATCGTAAGGTTATCCAAAAGATAGGTGTCAGATGTTTGGAGAAGGGCACACTTTCAGTGCTTATCATAGGTGCTATTTTCCATATATAGACTTCTGTCCCCCACCCAACCACCACTGCGACATGGGACATGGCTTCCATGGCCTCGGGGCTAGATAAATTGGGGGCTCAGTAAAAACAGGCCCCATGACCTTTGTGGCCATAGATGGAGGGCTCCTGGAGGAAAGTAAATCTTGCATATCTAGTGGGGGATGAAGAGATCTGATTTTGCCCTTGAGCTCACCCCAGGGAGCCAAGCTCCTCACCCTCCCTGTTTGCCCCCATTAAGATCCACTGCCATTCTGCATGCAGCCCAATTCTAGGCCTTGAGCGATTTCCTTACATCTTGCCCCACGAACAAGCTGTTGACCAGACTGTCATATTGTCCAGGCTATATCAACTAATTTTGGGGTTATGCCTCTCTGCCCTGATCTGCCAGCATGGGGAGCTGAGTGGTGGTTGACTGTCTCTAGTTTGCGCCTTAATAAGTGCTGGGTGCAAAGCTGAATCCTTGGGGTAGATAGAAGTCTGGACTACTCTAGCCCTGCCCTCTATATCTCCCCACCTACCACAGAAAAATAGTAAATATGGGTTTTCCATAGGCAAATGCCCTTAGCCGCCCAAACAGAGAGAGAGACAGGGAAGGTGGGGGGTGGGCAGAGAGAGTGACAGAGAGAGAGAGGAAGGGAGAGGAAACGTCCCCCCAGGATCTAGAGGAGCCACGGCTAGCTAACAAGGATGAGTGAAGTTGTCTTGGAGTCTCCTATGCCACTGCTTCTGCCAGAGCCCCCTCAGCTGCTAATCCCCGCCCTCACCCCCATCCACCTCTTCCAGTGCTCAGGCCCGGAACTACACTCCTGCTGTGCAGCTAATTGACCCCATTCTCATCTATGCCTATGTGGGAGAGAGGGGCTGGAGAGCTGCCTGCCCATCAAGCCAGGTACAGCCCTCAACGCCATGCACGGAAAACTTCACTTATACATCTTAACCGCTTTATGACGTACAGACGATTATCTTCACCTGTATCACAGATGAGGAAATTGAGGTGACTGAGAACGTTGAGAGAGTAATTTGCGAGATCCTGCAGTGACGCAGGCAGGACTCCCACTCGAGCGACAGAGCAGCTCACAGCCTGTTCTCGCCCACCCAGCCTCGCATTTGCATTTCAGTAGTCTCCGGGGCCTTCCCTTCCTCCCATCTTCCCAGGACTCTGCGCCCCCGGAACTCCATAGGATCTGCGCCCCCCAGCATGGCCTGGGCTCGGGGGCAGGGCCGCGCAGCCCCGGGTGGGTTGCATGGGGTGGGGGATCTGAGCCCTCCATGCCTGCCCGAGCGCGGGGACGCCGGCCGGCCTGGGTGGCGGCTGCAGAGCCAGCTTTTGTTCCCCCGCGCTCCCGGCTCCTGCGGAGTCACGGTCACATGCGCTTCCGGCACGGGGCGTTCCGGGCTCTGCGCCAGCGCTGCGAGTCACACCGCCCCGCGACCGAGCTGGGGCGCCAGACCCGGGACTCCTCCAGGCGCGAGCGCCTATTCTTCCGGCTCTCGCGCGCCGCCTCTCTACCAGCCCACGTCCGAGCCTCGACCCGGCGTCCGCGTCCACGCCCTGACAGGCAGCTTCGGAACCAGGAACTTCTCTCCACTTCCCACTGTCTCCAGGCTCTGGCTCTGTGGACTTGCTTTCTCAGAACTCCAGCGTTCAGCCTTCGGCACCGAATTATCCTGAGCTGGACTGCGTAACTACCTTACCCCCACTAGCTTTTGAGTCTATCACTGGTGCGTCTAATACCCAGTTATTTCCTAGGGTCCCCCTCACTTCCCTTCTCTAGACAAAATCAGATCCATCTTTCTCTCCCCCTGTAGAACACTGAACAGTAAAGAAGTGTTGGACAAATAGTTCATTGACTCCATTCACATCATTGGATGGGATGGTAGAGGCAGCCCTGAGCCTCCTACCCCTAAATCTGCCGCCCAGAGTTGACCTACCTCTTGCTTGGCACAGATTATCTAAGAGCAAAAGCTCTGACGTGAAAGAGGCAGAAAAAGACTGGCCCTTCCTGTCTTGGACTGGCCCAAGGAAGCCCCATCCCCAAGCACCAGTTGTGCCCTGGGATTCTTCAGAACCATGAAGCCTCTTTGAGACCAACTCTGTTTCACTCAGCAGATTCAAGAATTCATTCAGCAAACGTTTATTGAAAGCATAAGATGTGCAGGACAACCAGGTTCCTCCCATATGCCAGCTCTCTGCTACGCCCCCAAGAGAATGTGGGTAGATTCTCTTTGCTTCACAGCAGTGCCTGTGGCAGTCCCCCTGAGGCTCAACTTCACCCAAGGAGGCTGACATCTCTAAAGCATCACCATGCCTTCACCCAGGGCAACTTGGGAGGCCCTAGTAGACAAGATGGACAAGCCATTCCTAGAGGCTGAGAGTCCTCCCTGACCCCTGCTCTCAGCCTTGGAAATGCAGCAGGGAGGGGCAGGGCCAACCTCTGAGTGAGCATGGGGTGGGGTTTCAGGGACCCTTTCTCTCTCTGGGCATCTTTTCCCAATGCCTCTCTTCCAGGAACTCCAGGGGTGGGGAGGAACTGGAGTGGTGAAAACTGGGAAGGGAAAAAGGAAAGCCCAAGGTGGGGAGGAGCAAGGAGCAAGCTGTGGGACTATAGGTGGGTGCCTAAGTCCATCTGTGGTGTAAAGGCTTGGTGGGGAAGAGCAGGCAAGTGAGCTGCCGGCTGCCGCTGTGTCTGTCCACAAGGGGCAAGGGGTGCTGTGCGTAGTGCTGAACCATGGCGGCCACGGAGGAGAAGAGCTGGGCAGAGAGGCAGGGAGGCAGGGCCATCAGTGACGCTCTAACCGTCACACTGAGAGGCCACCTGAGGGAACTGTGGGACTTTGGCAAGGTGAGTTGCTGGTATTTTTCTAAATGTTTTCCTTCCTGTTTGCCCCCATTAAGGTCTACTGACATTTTGCAGTCCAGTTCTAGGCCTTGTGTGATTTCCTTTCATCTGTCTCCACAGGCAAGCTGTTGACCAGACTGTCATATCGCCCAGACTATTGAGCTAACTTTCAAGTTGTGCCTCTCTGCCCTGGTCCACCAGCATGGGGTAACTGAGTGGTGTTGAGTGTCTCTAGTGTGCTCCCCAATAAGTACTGGGTGCAAAGTAGAGTCTTGGAGTAGATGGGAGTCTGGACTACCCTGTTCCTGCCCTCCTCCCAGCTTGGTTAATTATAGGTACAAATACTCCCATGTCAGCCCTGTGCAAACTGAGCCATGACAGGAAGGGATGCCTCCCTCAGAGCAAGGTAGGCCTCTTTCCAAAATGCCAGGCTTTGGGAAGGAGTTCAGGGCTCTGGTCTCTGTCCTCCCCACCTACCCCAGAAAAATACAAAATGTGGGTTTTTCCATAGGAAATTCCCTTAGCTGGGCCCAGGGTACTGCTCTGCTGTGCCCTCCTTGCCCTTTATGCCCCTGCCTCCTGCCGTACCTACCTCCTTGTGATTCTTGCCCTCCCGGCCCAGGGCATAATGGCGCCCACCATCCAGCCGCTGGATGGGAATGTTGAAGACATGGCCGTGGAGAAGCACTGCCAGAGTGAGGGGCTGGGAACCCTGAGGCCCTGAGCTGGGGCGCACGGTATAGGCCCCATCCTGTGAAGAGACCCTATCTGTCAGCGCCATCCCCCAAGTGCCCGTTCTCAGCCCTGCCCCATGGTGGGCAAACCCCCCTTCCGCTCCACTCTGCCCTCTTAGCCAGCAACCAGGATATGAGCAGAAGCGGTTTCCGAGAAGGCCCAGGGGTTCTGCAGGTGACCACCTTTCGCAAGCGGAGGAGAGCACTCTCAACAGCATGACGGTCACAGTTCCCTGAGTACCAAGGCTGACCCAACAGGCTGTCGTCCTGTATACACACACAGCTCACTCAGAAAGGTGTCCAGGGCACCACTGGTCAGGAGGTGGGAAGCAAAGAACCCAGGACTGCAGTTATTTGGATTCATGTCTGCCTTCCCCGAGACTGAGCCCTCGCAAGGAGGAACAAAGATGTATATCCATGTCTGCAGCCCAGTGCTGCTGACATGTGCTCCATACATGTTCCTTCAGTGGTGGACTCCTCAACCCAAGAGGACCACAAGCAAATACCCAGCTCCCACAGCCCTCATCCCTCAGCACTCCTCCAACCCTTCCTCACCTCAGTAGCTGAGGTGTTCCATGTGGGGGCTAAAGAGGGAAGAGAAGATCTCCTTCCTGCTGGAAGAAGCAGATTATAGAGCTGGGGCTGGAAGGGGATTAGGCAAAGGGATTAGCTCTGAGTATGGGAGATGCACAAAGCTGTGCTTGACCTCTCTTCTCAGACCTAGGACCCTGGTAGCAGCCCCTGTCAGCTAGGCCTCCAAATGAGAGGTGTTCTTGGGGTATATACTGGGAGCTTTCTACTTTGGTGCAGAACCTAGAGAATGGCCAAGGAGGTCCCCTCAGGCCTGAGCTCAGCAGGAGTCAGAGCTTCAGGGACCCCCTCAGCAAAGTGGGGCCTGAGGCACTGGGAGGGAGGCTGTGACCTACAGAGCTGTGGCTATGGTAGGGGCTGGCAGGACTGCTGGGGCTTATGCTGAAGACACCTGCACTCACCTTTAGAGGTGACATCCGGTGCTCCCTGGGACGTAAGATGTCTGGTCAGAGGAAACCTGGCCCTGTGGGCCTGCTCCCCTGGACCTGGAGCCCACACTCATCCTCTTTCTCTCCATTCCCATCCACCCAGCTCACTTCCTCCCTGACCATAAGCATCTTACATTCCGAGCTTCCTGGGGGGCTTTGGTGGGCCTGTGGGGAGCAAATTAGGGAACAGAGCTTAGGCTCTTTACCTCCTTCAAGAGAAAGACCCCAATGAACCTAGCATTCCAAGCTGCCCCTGTCACCACTATCAGGTACAGTGGAAATCCCAAGGTCAGGGCTAGGAAAGACTGCATGGGCTATCTTCTTCCTCTCTCTCTCAGTATGTCTCTCTGTCTCGCTCCTTTCTCTGTGTGTCTGTCTCTCTGGTTCTCTCTTCCTTGTGTTTCCATACACAGATGCACCTGGTGGGGTACTCACCTGGGCACTACTGATGTCCTTGGCAGAGGGACTGGGGGCACCAGCACTTGTGAGCTTAGAGTCCGAGTCAGGGCTGGGACTAAATAGAGAGAGCAGGCTGGGTTTGGCTGGGACTCAGGGGAGGAAATCCATGTTGGCCAGGGAAGGACTGAGGACAGCTGCAGGAGTGGCCTTTACTCTGCAGCCTGGGCTTTCTGGGAGTTCGTCCAACCAGGGGAGATGCTGCCCTGGGAGCAACAGCTGGAAAGCCCCACACAGACCTTGCTCTGAGGGAAACACCTCCTTTGTTGGCACAGTGTGGGTCAACCTGAACCACAGGTGGAAGCCTGGGGTAGGTGTCCATGTGGGTGTATGAATACACATCTTTGAGAGGTTGGTAAGAGGAGACAGGGGGAAGAAGGTGGTGCCTTGGGCAGCTGAGAACCTCAAGGGCAACATGGATCTGGGACCAGCCAGATGGAAGGGCTCACCTGGATCGGGCTCACACTGCAGGTAGATGTTCTCGTTAGGCGTCTTTGGAAGGTTTTGCACCTAAGGTAGGGAGGAATATGTGGGATCTCACCATAGATTTGACCAGGCCTGGGGTTCAGTTTAGGTCTAGGGGACCTCAGCTACAGGCAGCAAGCAGGAGGAAGGGAAAGGTCTTTACTTGGGTGGGGGATTCTGGACACTTGACTCACTCCTCACAAGGTGGGCCTCTTTCTGGAAGCCAGCTTGAATCATTCAATGGCTCCTTTGCCAGGGTGGGAGCGCCCATGAGCACCTTTCCCTGCAGAGGGGCCCATAAGTCCCCAGTTTTCTGCTAATGTGGGCATCCAGGGGGAGCTCTTGTCAAGGCCCAACCCTCTAGCCCTGGGCAGAACACTCAGAGGGACAACTAGCTGGCACCCTCCCAGGGGCCTGGGGCAGAAGGGGCAGACTCCAGTTGGGGCCTCTTTCTTTGGTTTCAGGCATATTTCTTGACCCTTCCAGCCCCCACACACCCTTCCACTTCCTAATGAAAACCCTAGAATGTGAACTGGGGAGAGGGGCTGCTCACCACTCTGGTGGGTATGCTCAGCTCTGGAAGGAAAAGGAGAGAACCGCAGTCACAGAATAGAAGGGAGAAAGGAATTAGATGAAACTGAGGCACTTACCATGGGGCAAGGCTCTGGACAGTGGTGGCAATCATGGCATGGATAGAATCAGAAATTGGTTGCCAAGGGGGCCCCCTCTGAAGGGGAAGACACTCAGATGTGTCCCTATAGTAGGGGTCCTCTGAGCAGAGTAGAATGCCTTCAGATCTCTTCATCTCAGATGTGTCCCTCACCTGACCCAGAAACCACACCAGGTGCAGAACAGAGCCTGGGAGTCAGGGACGTGGTTGTGTGTGCACTCAGGCAAAGCATTTCATCTCTCTGGGCCTCAGTCTCATCCGTTTGATTGGAGATAGTGCCACCTGAACTGCCTACCTTACGGAGGACTGGCAGGTAAAATGTGGAAATAGGTGGGGCATGCAGTGAACAGGCAAAGCATGAGATGATGTAAGGCAAACTCATCTCTAGCCCTGCAAGGTTAAGGATTGCCCTTCCCAGGGAGTACTCATGCAAAGAGACAGGGCCTCATCCCATTACCTGGCCTCACAAAGGGCAGTTCCTGCTTCACTGCCTCCCGAAGACTCAGTGCTGGCTTCAGCTGTGGGCACAATAGAGGCCAGTGAAGAGGGATGGGGGCAGAGAGAAACTGAATCATCAGAAAGGTAAGGATGGGCTTGGGGAGGATGGGATGTTGTTGTTATTGTTAGTTGGCAAAACAGACTCATGGTGACTCCATGTGTGTTAGAGTAGAACTGCTCCACAGGGTCTGTGACTTTTGGAAGCAGATTGCTAGGCTCGTCTTCTGAAGTACCTCTGGGTGGGTTTGAACTGCAAAACTTTTGGTTAGTTGCCAAGCACTAGCTTAAGTAGGAGCTCTGGTAGCCTAGTGCCTAAGGCACTTGACTGCTAACCAGAAGGCTGGCGGTTCAAACCCACCAGCCACTCCTCGGAAGGAAGGTTGGGCAATCTACTTCCGTAGTGATAATGCCTGGGAAACCCAAGGAGGGGTCACTATGAGTCGGGTCTGACTCAATGGCACATGACAACAACAACAACAACTTAAGTGTTTGCATCACCCAGTGGCTCCTAGGATGGAATGGGGTAAGTATATCTGTGCAGATGAAAAAAAAAAACAAAAAAACAAAACACTACAACATAAGAGGAGATAGATGTACAAAGGGAGATACCCTTCACCCCTGTTATGTGGCTCACTCTTTGTTGTGAATCTGTATTTCTCTTTACTCCAGTAAAATATGTGATGAAAGTGGTTGTTTCAAAGCCCGTAAATGGGATGGCAGCAGGAGTGGGAGCTGGCAATGACTGGCAGCTGAGGTAGACTTCTGGTAGCATAGTGACTAAGGCACTTGACTGCTAACCAGAAGGCTGGCGGTTCAAACCCACCAGCCACTCTTCGGAAGGAAGGTTGGGCAATCTACTTCCATAGTGATACTGCCTCGGAAACCAAAGGAGGGGTCGCTATGAGTTGGGGCCAACTCTACAGCACATAACAACAACAACAACAACAACAGGCAGGGACGGTCCTCAGTCTCCAGGGTCCAGAGGAGGAGCAGCCAGCTTGTCAGAACTTAGTGGAGAAGAGTGAGTGTCTTGAGTGGTACTGATGGGGAAGGGTGAAAGGTCCAGGCCAGACTTGTTAGAGGAGCAACAGTGAAGGAAGGAAAGCAGGGTTCTCCTAGTTAAGATAAGGCCTTTGTAACACTGGAATAGGGCTCTAGCTTCTGACTCAGCTGACTTTTAAAATGAGCTTCCAGGCTGAGGGGCCTCCTGAATGCAAATGTGGGAGAGCCTTGCAAATGAGATGTCTCAAAGACTAGTCACTAAGAAGTAGCAGTTTAGGGTGGGGCCCGTGGAGAAGAGGGACTTATGGGAGATGCAGGAGAAAGTCTCACCATTGTGGGCTGGGATTGGGGCAGGGGTGGCAGTGGAGGCCGCGGCAGTGGAGGTAGGGATGGCTTGGATGGGCTCAGGGTACCAGAGTGATCTGGAAAAGACTCATGCATTATGGATGCGGGTGGGAGTTTAATCCGATGGACTATTTTCCTCCTGCCCCCCCCCAGACTCCCTCATCCTCTCACCCTCCAGTCCTTCCTCCCCCTCCCTCACTCCCCTGTTCGTGATTGGCTTCCTGAAAGCCCAGTCTCCATGGCAACGAAAGGCAGCCGCTTCCCTGCCACTTCCTGGTCTAGCCTGGGCCTTGGAGGAGGGATGCCAGCAGCAGCCAGGGCTCTCATGACACCTCACCCTTGCCCCATAGAAGTTGTACTGGGATCTCAGAAGGGGAGCTCAAGGCCCCCAGGGACCTAGTTGAATTTCCTGCTTCCCCACAATTGCCTTGGTTACAAGGCCTCTCCAGGCCCCTCTCCCCTTCCCACTCTTCCTTTCTCTCTGCCTCATTCCCTCCATTCTCCTATCTCTTTCTCTCTATTCAGACCAGAGAGGCCCCAGTGCAGACAGAGGGAGAAGGGTGAGGCCTGCACTCTCTTCCTTTGTGGGGGCCCTTCTGCTCTGCCCAACCACCCATCCTCGCTGCCTCCAGCTTCCCAATCCTCACTCAGGTACAATGAGTCCTCCTCAGAGCCAGGAAGATGTGCAGGGGCTATGTTGACGGATAGAACTTCACAGGGGGGCAGCTCATATTTATCCTCCTCTTCCTCTTCCTCCTCCTGGGCCTTCCGGAAGGGATGCTGAATGCAGGCGATTTGGAAGGGGCCTGGAAGTGGTGGTGGGCACTGCCTCTCTCTCCCCCACTCAGGCCTCAGTAACTGGACTTACCATGTATCTCCAGCTCCCTGGGCCAGGCAGAGGAGATGGGCTGGGGGCATCTTCTTGCCAAGCTGGGGCATCTAGAAAGGACAGACTGGCCTGACTCCTCCCTGCCCAACCCCCTCTAGCAGAGTGCATGAACCTGTCTCCCCACCACAATAAACTATCTGCATTTTGACAGCTGACTTCAGTGCTTCAGCTCAGAGGAACCACTTATGATAGGCATTTCTAACAGCAGGGCCAATGGGGGAGGCATTTTGGAAGCAGGAGTTCCTCCCAACTAGCTGCCAGTCCCCCACTCCATGCACCCTTTATTCTGACCAAGACAAGTGGGAAAGCTAGGCTCCAATGACTTTGCAATGCTGGAAGATGGTGGGCAGGAAGTGTCCGTAGCCACTCAGGAGACCCAACTTGTGGAGGCCTCTAGTCTGCTGGACCCCCTTTTATCCACTATGTCACTTACCCACACATCTGGGGGGTGGAAGAGGTGGCCCCGACCTGTAATCAGACTCAAGTCAACTCTGCCCTAGAGGCCCTTGAGTTTGTGTCAGCCAGATGCTGCACAACTCCAGGACATTCACAGACATGACCATGTGAGTGGCATCCCCCAGAACTGTGTGACACAGTGGACCTGGTACCTGGCAGCAGGAAGAGGAGTCAGGGAGCAGAACTGGATGAACTGGTGCCCAGGGAAGCCAGCAGTGGGAGAGCCCCAGAGCTGACAGGGGAGTGGAGCACGTGAAAGGCTGCACTGAGTGTGGTGGACACAGGCAAAGCCAGCACAGCTCCGAGGATGCCCAGGGAAAAGAGCATGGAGACAACAGAAGAGGGAGACAGGAAAGAGAGGAGCTCAAGTACTCACCGGGGCTTGCTCCGACTGAGCTTGTCCTGGAAAGAGCCAGGGAGGGGAGTAAAGGGGTAATCAGTGCAGCCAGGATGCCTCTCCCTGACCAGAGTCCTGGGCCCCAGGGGTGGACAGGTTGTATGCCTGGGGCTGTCCCAGAACCAAGTCTCACCATGGCTGAAGTGAAGAGCTATGGCTTCTTAGAGCCCAGGCTCTGCCACAAATGACTCCTTGGGACAGGGGCCTCATTGTTCCCAATATTTGCATCTTCCCAAGCACCAGGAAGAAGGACCTGCTGTAGCCTCCAACCCCACACCACTCCCAGGACCAGACAGCTCTCCCTGAGCCTCCTCCCACAATTCCTCCCTCATCTGCAGTCTTGAGCCCCTCTGCCCCTAGAAGGAAGAGCTCTCCCCTTCAGATAAGCTAGACTGGGGCTCACAGGCCTCCTTCAGGTCTCTGATCAATGTCACCTCCTCCTGGAGGCCTTCCCTGGCTGCACAAACTCAGCTCCTCACTATCAGCCAAACCAAGCTGCCTCACCAAGCTGCCCTTGGGCAATTCACAGAAAAGATTACATTTATGGGCAGATCCAATTATAATAGGAGACTGGCCTTGCAGATACTTTTCTTAAACCCTTTGCCTGCTGTTGTCATTTGTTTTGTGAGTGCTAATAATGACCAAGGAAATGAATGTTAAAGAGAAGCACAGAAATATACTCTCATATTTAGTATGATAGCTTCCTTCTTGATAGATCCATTTAGTCAGTAGATATTTATTGAACATCTACTGTACTCCAGACATCGTTCCAGGTGCTGGAGATGCTGTAGAGAAACAAAATAGACCTTGAATTCATATTTCCTCATTATTGGATTCTCAACAACTTTGTGATATAAGTACTAGTTTTACCCCCAGTTTTTTTTTTTTTTTTAATTGTGATTTGGGTGAAAGTTTACAGAGCAAATTCATTTTGCATACAGCAGCTCACATACACTGTGCCTCATGATATTGACTACAATTTACCACAATGCAACAGCTCCCTCCCACTTCCTCCCCTTACTTATCTCTTCCCTGTGTCCTTCCCTCCATGCACTCCTGCCCCCTGAGCTGTGTCCTTGTGCATACACAGCCCTTCTATTCTCCCATGATTGATCTCTCCAAGGAATCTATCTACCTAGTGTAAATATTCATCTCATATGCCTGTCCTTTGTTTGGCTGGAAGCCACAGGAGTGGGTTCCATTACAGACCTGAATCGCAGCTAGGGGCCATAGTGTCATCAGGCTCTATCAGACTAGCAAACCTGGTCCCTTTTTTTTTTATTCAAATGATTTTGAGTTTTGTTCCGCATTGTTCTCCCTCTCTATCCAGGATCTCCTACATAGATCCTCCTCCGAGTGGTTGACAGTGGTAGCCAGGCACTATCTAGTTCTTCTGGGCTCATGGTCATATAGGCTGAGTATCACATGGTATACCAGTCACTTGGACAAATGTTTCCATGAATCCTTGGTTTTCTTCATTCTTCTTTGCTCTGGATGAGGAGAGACCCATTGTTGCATCTAGATGGCCGCTTGCAAGCTTTTAAGATCCCAGTTGCTACTCGCCAAAGTAGGATATAGAACAATGTTTTGTGTAACGTGTTATGCCAATTGAGCTTGACGTCCCTTGGGACTATGGTTCCGAGCCCACAGGTCCAACTACTCACTCACTCTGGGTACCTTGCTGTGGCCAAGAAGTGACTACAACCTTGTCCTTTGTCAGCTCTACTATATACCTGTTACCCCTGTTTTTCAGATGAGGAAACTGAGGCTTTGAGAAGTTGAGAAGTTTCCCAAGATCTTTCAACTAGGAAGAGTTGAGGCAGATTTAACCTGAAGCTTGCCTACCCTCAGAGCCTGTGCACTAACTGCGTGGTCACCCATATGTTACATAGGATAGGATCCCCACCCACCTTTCCTGTGAAGGAATTATGCATTAGTATTTGTGGACTTCCTTAAAGAATCCATGACTCTTAAAGAGCCCTGAGTGAATTTTGGAACTTTGACTTCTGGGAAGTGTCTGGATGAAAAGGAAGGCTAGGGCCTGGTTTCTGACTCCACCTAAATCAGGAAACACAGATCAGGATGATGAATGTCAGACCTTTGTTGGATTTCCTAAAAGCACTGTAACTTCCTTGTGTTCATTATTTTAGTGCTGTCCTGATTGTTGGCACTAAGGGAAAATAAAGCCTATGTGCTTGTATCTTTAGAGGCCGCCAGGCTGAAGGGCACCGGGCAGCCTCAGGGTGTGCAGCAGCACAGCCTTAAGAGAAATGGGTGATTCCTGACCTGCAAGCAAAAGAGCACTTCAGAAGCTATGAGGAGTCGCTGGGGCGGCTTACCAGGGAGCCAGTTAGAAACAGTGGGAAAATCTGAGAAAATAAAAACAAACAATACAGGCCTGGAGTCAGGGACTTGGGTTTATTCATTGTCCTCCACTCCCCAGCTAACATCCCAAGTTAGTTAGTTAGTTAGCTAGCTTTTGTGAAGTCTGCCCCTGACTCATGGTGACTCCATGCACAAGGGCACCATCCCATGATTGGTTGATGATTGGACTTTTGTGACCCATAGGGTTTTCATTGGCTGATTTGTAGAAGTAGATTGTTAGGCCTTTCTTCCTAGTCCACAGTAGTCTGAAAGCTCTGCTGAAACCTGTCCACGCAAGCCTTCACTGACAGATGGCAGCTGCACATGAGGTGCACTGGCTGGAAATCAAACTGAGTGTCCCACAGGGAAGGGAGAATTTGACCACTGAACCACAACTGCTTCCACAATCTCCCAAAGGTTTCACAAATGGTAGGCGGCAACTTCTCTCATCCAAGGGGACCTTCTATGAGCTCAGGTCAGACTCAGAAGGTTCTAGACACCACTATTGTAAACCCCTAGCTGAGCTGGTTTGCTAGCCCACACTGCCCTCACCTCAGCCCCCCTCCTTCCGGTCAGGGCTTTGCATAGGCAAATCCCAGGGCCTGGGTGAGCCAAAGGGTCCCAAGCAGAAGCTGAGGTGAGGGCACTGGCTTGGCACAGATCAAGGACAGGGGGAAGGAAGAAGGTTGACCTTGGTAGTTTTGTCGCATCCCAGCCAGCCCCATAGGACAGTGCTTCTTGCTAACTGCAAGGCAGATTTGGACACCCACTTTCTCTATCTTTGGCCCAGGATTGCTTTGTGCACAACCTTAGATATTCCCTTGGGATGAATTCCTAAAAGTAGAATTGCTGGAAACTCACATTGTGAAGGTTTCAATGCACATTGCCATAATGACAGCACCCAAATGCCTGTTTTTGTTTTGTTTTGTGGTGAAAATATACATAACAGAATATATACCACCTCAACAGTTTCTACATGTACAATTCAGTAACCTTGATTATAGTTTTCTAGTTGTGCAACCATTCTTCCTATCGTTTTCCAAATCATTCCACCACCATTAACAAACTCAATGCCCTCTAAGCAAACTGAGTGCCTGTTTTATAATCCATCCATAGCACAAAGTGATTCTCCAAATTTGTTAGATCTCCAATGAGAACAGGTCATATATATAGGCCCAGAGGAGTCTAAATGCACCCTTAGAAAACATACAGCTGTCTAGAGCACTGTGGTAGTTATGTTTGTGTGTCAACTTGTCTGGGCCTGGTTGAGTGGCTGAGCAGCTGGATGAGACTGGTAATCAGCTCCATGGTGGAATCTACAGGGAACGTGGTCTGCTTCCTGTATTTAAGCAGAAACCTTGGGAATGGTCTCTAGCCTATGGCATGCTTGGACCCTGCATGTAGCCATGTTGTTGCTCAGCAGCCTGCTGTGCTCTGCCATCCTTGGGACTTACAATGGACTTAAGTTAATGGCCTGCATGTGGCTTGGTAACATCAGGACTGTGCCCTTTTTACTTGTCAACCTTAGGGCTTGTCAGCCTCAGCAGCCAGCAGCTGTCTGAGTGAAGAAATGCCTCTAGCTTCAGTGGGCCGGGAGCAGGAGGCAGAGCTGGACCCCAAGGTTGAGAGGCTTTCACCCAGTCCCTAGAGCCTGGCACTTGGCACTCGGACTTGAAGCCTCCAAATTGTAAGAATAAACTCCTATTTGTTAAGGCCATCCCATTTGTGGTATATTCCTGTCAGAGTGGCACTAAGTAACCAGGACAAGCACTCTCTCCCCCCTTGCCTGGTCATAAGAATCAGTGGAGTACTTGTTAATAATCTCAGATTCTCAGACTCTCCCAGGATCTTAAGGATTGGATGCTCCAGGTGAAGAGACTAGGAATCTATATTATGATTATTTTTTTCTTTCCAGTTATTTTTTTTAATTTTTGTGATTTAGGTAAAAGTTTACAAAGCAAATTCATTTTCCATACAGCAGCTCACTTATACTTTGTCTCATGACATTGACTACAATTTCCCACAATGCAACAGTTCCCCTCCCACTTCCTCCCTATAGTCATCTCTTCCCTGTGTCCTTCCCCTCCCATGCACTCCTGCCCCAGAGCTGTCTCCCTGTGCATACACAGCCCTTCTATTCTCCCATGATTAATCTCTCCAAGGAGTGTATCTACCTAATGTACATGTTCAGCTCATATGCCCATTTTTTATTTGGCTGGACGCCACATGAGTAGGCTAGGAATCTGTATTATTTTTAGCAAGCATCCTAGATGACTCTTTTGATCAGTCAAGTTTGAGAAATGCTTCTCTATAGGAAATGTTCTGTGAAGATGCAACTACTCCTTGGACATTTTTAGCCCTGAGCTCATTGGGAATATAGGGGTCCCCAGCAGAGAAGAATGTGCTGCTCTGAGTGATGGAGAGGACCAATCCATGAAGGCGGTCAACTTCTCTGAGGTTCAGTTTCCTCTTATGTCAATGAGGGTGAAAATAAGGGATTCTTCAATGAGGGGAGCTTCTGAGGGCTGAATGAGATGATACATGTAGCACCCTAAGTACTAGCGCTTACTGAGGCAGTGCTGGTGTGGTTGATGTAGTTGTTGCCAACAAACAGAGAAGGAACCAAAGTCTAGTTGGGATC